CTCCTCACCGAATATCCTTACCCATGCTCCTTTAGGCCCCTGTCGGCATATGGGGAGCCAACGCGTCCTCTCTCTGTCTATCTCTTACTTTCTCTGTTTCTCTCTATCTGATTGTCTCTCTCTTGCTTTCTCTGTTTCTCTCTATCTGATTTTCTCTCTCTTGCTTTCTCTGTTTCTCTCTATCTGATTATCTCTCTCTTTTCCTCTCTCCCTTTGTCTCTATCTATATCTATATTTCCCTTCTCCTCGAGTTATACCCCCTTTTACCGCCTTGCAAGCCGAGCAGGTCACAGCTCGAGCACCACGCCAGTGTACTGACTATTGGACGGGGCACCTAAACCAAGGCTCCCAACGTTTACTGTTCTCGATGGGTAACAAAGTTGGAACGGTAGCTCTTCCCCTTCCGATTCCATATCTGCGTTCATGCTGGGCATTGATAGTCCCCGTTGTTGTGCTGTTCTGCAGGAGCACCCTGAACTACCGAGGACGGAAATTCTTGCATTTTGAATCCCTGACTCTCGTGCCTATTCAGGCGAAACTCATCGATTTCTCCCTACTCTCACCATATGTACGCCCTGTTACTGCTTGCTGCTCAAAGGCATCTCCTTTGCACGAGCTGCTCACTGACCAGCTGATTAGCTGCTAGCTCGCTAGGAAGCGGGGGCTTGCAGCTCCAGTCTTCGATGGGTGACAGCGAGTTGTGCAGTGCCTAGCGATCCACTTGACCACTACAGGAGCTGAGGCTAATACTACTAAGGGAGCTAGCAGTCAGGGTCTTGGAGTCTAGCTAGGAAAAACATTTCCAGCGGCTCGCCTGGTGGCCTCTCTTGTTGCGTTTGTTTAGGAGGTAGAGTGGCTCGACGCGTATCACCAGGATGTCTTCAATCGCATATCTGCGCGGCTCGCTGCGAGTCAAAAGGAGCACTTCTGCCCGCCCCTGCCTCAGGCGGTTTCAATCTCTAGGGCAGATGTTCTCGCATGGTTGAGAAAAAGTACCAGGCCCCTACAGCAACTGCTGCAATCTGATTGAGTGTGATCGATGCATCTCTTGGTCCCAACAGTGTCGCTTTCGCCTGAGAAGGAGGGCTTGTATCATTGAATACTTGATTTCGGAGATCTGGTTTTCCAGTGCTTTACGTGTGCTGCTCTTCCTTCGTTTGTGCTGACGAAGATGAGGAGGGGCCTTTTAAGGTCATAGGGGGCCTCCACAGGGCCCCCCATTTTTGACTCATTGGCCTTTGGTGGGGGGCCTGTCGACGGGGTCTTTCAGCGGCCTCTTTGGGGCAGCTGCGGACAAGCGTGCTGCTGTATATCGTGTCACTTGCATGCCTCGCTTCTCAGTCATGGCGCAATGAGTAAGTTAGCTCAAATGGCCTACGAAGACGCGGGGGTCATCTGCTCTGTAGAAAGGGTGTCCAGCTATGTAGGGCGGTCTTATGGTTTTGCTGTTTCTCTGGCTGAAGGCAGGAGGTGCAGTGGTACTGTTTTGGATGACAGGTTCGGCTTGTTGCGAGGCAATTTTTATGCTTGTCGGTATGAGGTGTATCTAAAACTGTGACTCGGTGGGTGTATATGTGCACCCGTATGCTTCTATTCGTATCAACATGTGAAGACACAAATGCATCTACACTTGTATTTGCAACTCTGCAACTGTGATAATTAGATTACTGTCAGTATACGATTGGGCGCCTTTGTTCTCGCGTCTGATTGGTGCCGTTGGGCGCCTAATGTCAGACTGTTCCTTTAGTGGGGCAGATAATCCTGGTGGTGTCTTCGATTCCTCCCGAGACTATTGACAGACATAGTAGTGACAAAGGGCTGCGCAGATAAGTAGTCAAAGCAAATAGAAGGTGAGGTATTAAACTGAGGCCTCGTGACAGTGCCTTTCTGGCCTTTCCAGAACACGGTGCCCCATAGGTCAACCGAGGTGCACGAAAATCCGCCTGCCAAATGCCTTCAAGAACTAAGCAGTCGAAAAAAGGGATTTGGAACACTTCTCTAAACCGCTACACATAGGTGTGATGCCATCCTGTGCAAATGAGCTTTTGGAATGCTACTATAATTTGTAACTTATTGCACCCTATTCCATAGCTTGTAACATTGCTCATTAGGTTTGCATGCAAAGATCGAGCCGTTGGTGTTTTGCGGGGGAAGGAGAAGATTCACCTCGGACTGCATCGAGAAGTGGGCGTAGTTTACGGCGCTTTGGGCAGACCATAAGGACTGACTCTACTCTCCTGTATATCCTAGAGCTGTGAGGTACATATTGCAGCTAGTACGGCCACTTCAGAGCTATTCAAGGGTCTCCAAGACGGAAGCCATGGCAGCTGACGCTGATTGTGCCGAGGGCTGTTCATACTGGCTAGGTACTCGATTCCCTGCTACACCCCCTGCTTCACCGAGACTGCGACACACACAGCGGCATATTTTTTTTCCGACGCACAAGGCTAAAAGCACAAAAGCGCGCTAGGTAAAGGAATTCTCTGGAAGTGGCAGCTTTTTCCAGTTTGCGTGGTATGCACTGAAGAATTAACTCGCGAATGCGAACATCAGGGAAGCTCACTCTGCCTGATAGATCCAGTTGCATGTATTCATAAGCCTACAGAGGTCTTCTACGTAGGCAAATTCGTAGGAAGCACTTTGAGGATGGAGGCGAAGGACACACCATGCATTCTGCTTTCTCCTGTCATATACCAGTGACCATCACATGTAAACACTGAGAGATAGCATGTTGCAAGACCCTGTAGCCCAAACTGGACAGTGTAGCTGTCATGCCACTTGTGCAGCACAATGAAATGATGAAAAGTTGGTCTGAACACTGCACCTTCCTAAGCACGCAGCCCTTCAGCAAACAGTCTGACCCTTCGTGTGTATGCATCATGCAATAAAGCATCACTGCGGAGTCTCAGGTGCTAGCAGTATTATGAGTTGTGCGGCTAATTTGATGGACTTCATGATCAGGAAAAAGTTCGCGAATGGCCCATTGTCGAGGAAGTACATGACATGAACTGTGAAGCCTCAATTAAAGAGGAGCCTTTCAGCACTAAGGGCCTGAATGGAGAGCGGCCATTTGCTGTTTTCTGCTATGTAACTTTTAAGCATTTGGCGGCATAAGAAGATCAGGGCAAGAACGTGCAATGCATGGACAAATATCACCACTTGTGCCTTTAGGGGCTTCCTTTTATTGAGAGCTTCTTCCTAGTTTTTCATCTGCCAGCCCAAGCTGCCTTTCGAAGTAAGAGCGGTAGAAGCGGCCTATGGGGGCGTAAATGCATCGGGCAAAACTACACTTAGGGATGTTCTACTCTACAGTAATCATTTTTAGTAATAGTAAAATTTGACAATGTGGTTTAATCCTCCGTTCACCTTGTTTGTTGCCAAGAAGTGCTTACGATGCTTATCAATGCTGCGTGTATGTGTGCTACATGCTATGATGCAACAAGCCATGAGTGCTAGTGGAGCTGAACGGATGCAGTTAGGCATCGGTCCTACTCCCCTCAGGTCTAGAACTCTGAGGGGCGGAGGTGGGGAAGCGGGGGAACTCCCCTGAAAGAACGCACAAAACGTATTTGAATATATAGTGATGCTGGAGGTAGGTGGTCCCCGACGAAGACCTACTTTGGAACGTAGCGGTGAAGCTAGAAATCCTTGTGGACTTTTCCTTCCGACACGAAGAGACGCTCGATTTACTCGCCTTTGGTACTCTCAAAGTTTGATCCTTTCCCCTTTCCTACGCTATGATTTGCTCTAAGTGGCTCGCTCTTGACTCTCCACCCGTGTCCAGCCATTCTGTCGCTCACGTGGCCTCCCTCCCCCTTCCTGCCCGTCATACACTTCACCCCGTTTGCCACAAAATGACCTTAGGCAAGGGTGTGCTTCTCTTAAGCTACAATCGACTCGTACAGTCTTAACGCTCCTGGCGTTGCCCCCACGAAGCCACTGTTGCTTCCACGACCCGTTTCCCCGTCTTTCATTCGGCCTCTGCAGCCTTTCCTTACAGATCTCTCCTCTGCGACCTTCTGAGCTATGCCTCCTTCTTTCCTTACAAAAACAACAAATTTCAAAGGATATTTAGGAGGTCAACCTACAGCAGTCGACCTCGGCCGCCTGAGAGCTGCTGGGAAGTGTTTCTTGCACTGGATCTATCTGCCGCAGCAGTCCCTGTGGATCACAGTGCTCCACAACCGTCGATCCATAGGAATTTTAAGCCCCAATACTCAGTAGACACTCATACAGCTGTTCAGGTGGGTCACAAGGTGGGCAGAGAACCCGTCGACCATCGCAACGGTGTGAATGCGTGGTCTGGTCAGGAGGGCCTCGATAACAGCGCACCGGTGTTACAGCAACGGAGCTTTACAGAGAATTCAACAGTCTTCCTAAACGTAAGTCTAGTACAGAACTTTAGAGGCTCAGATATATGTCTTGGGCCAAACAATATTGTTTTCCGGGTTTCCAAAAGAATAAATTCGATTAGTCCCTTTTGGACGCCGGAGGCTTGCGGCAATCGCAGTGAGTCGCCAGCAAGTTTATTGCCTAACGCCCTGAGTCCTAATGAACTCTCCGATTTTTAGAAAGGAAATTACTGGGTCGAGAAAAAGGACAATTGGTCGGCCGCTTTTTGAGGCCTTTGATCCTTTCATTATTTCAGCTGTCTCTCGCCCAGATTCGAGGCCCTGTTCCTCAGCCCTAGACAAAAGTTGCTCCTTTGGAATCTTGGTGACGCCGCTGTTGCTGTTGGGTAGCCAGTAGGCTTAGCTCAATTAGATACAGCGAGATGTTCTAGGCTCATCTTCCTTTCACTCCATCTCTCCTGTGGCCGCCAACAACAATCAACATCTCGCTGCTATCGAGCTGGTAACGGGCTGCACATCGCGAACCTGTGCAAAGTGTATGGATGGGGATCAGTGTTGGCGGTCCATTGATGCAATGTCGTGAATCATGCCTTACACTAAGACGCTCTGAGGTCCTTCAGCGTCATCTTCCCTGCTGCCTGCCAGAAGATGGGAAGACAACGCCGATGTCTCCTTGGAGGGGGGCTGGGAGCCCTCGCTCTGTCTTCCTGGTTGATTTTCGCCTCAGTAGGAGACACGAGTGATGATATATCTCTCATCAATAGGGGTGAAGCCTATTGGCTTTGTCACAGCGGGTCCGCAGGCGTAGCCTGCGGCACCCGCAGAGAACCTTCCCTGAACTCTTCAGGAGTATACTGCAGGATTGGCCTCTGCTGCTCGGATTTAAATGATGTAGAGCCTTTTACATGCAAAGAAGGAAGCTGCAGTCGCCCAGCTGCGGATGAATCAGACACGTGCAGTAAGCCTTCAACAGCACACACGGCCCCCGCATTGGAGATAGGGGGATTTCGGCTGCCGATACATTTCGAAATGGCGCGCTGTGACAAACGCCTCCTTCTGCGGGTGCTTATACTGCTGAGACTACACCGCGTACGGCGGTGAACTGCAGCAAACCGTTGGGGGTCATCTGCGCGCGTGTTCTGCTTTTCTTTCTGTATTTGTGTTGATGCAGCCTGTAGGAGGTTTGGTGGTAGGTGTGCCTTGGCAAGCGGAGCTTCTCGATGTGTGGATCTGCCCCAAAGTGGCCGCCTCTCTGGGGCCGCCTGCGTATGCGAGTCACCCTTGATTGCAGACCAGTATCGCCAAAAGTGTGTGCCAAGTATGTCTTTTTCCGGGAAAGGCACCAGCTAGAATCTTCCAGTGGCAACAGCACAGGTCTGGCTTGCCCTAGTGTGTCAATGAGCTGGCTTTGGGGAGTTTTTAGCTGCTGTTTTACTGTGTTGCGAAATCTCTAATATTCCTTTCCTCAGTGTAGCGGGGTTAAGAGCGTGCATCGGGTATATATCACGGCACTTGCACGAATAAAGTGGAAGCTTTCCACAAAACAGCTGTTCACTATGCTGGACTACATTTCAGCCACTTGCATAGTTGTATATCTTCTTAACCGACTGCTGTGTGCGCCTTGTTGCGCCTTAGACGTGTGCAGTGCCGGAGCGTGTGGCCCCACAGACGCGGTGAAATTCTGCTACCCGTCGAAGGTCATGACGAGTCCACCGGGGCAGACAAAATACGAAGCTACGTGCATCTGTGCCTACGGGTACAAGCTAAATGGAGAGACACAGCAATGCTTGCCTGCCCCTAATGATAGATGCAAAAAAGAGGAACCCTGTGGACCGCCCGAAGGTGTGAACACGTGCAGAGAACATCCAATAACCGGCAAGTTTATATGTACCTGCAGATCAGGGTTTGTGTTAAACACACGGGATAACCAGTGCCAGAAAAAGTGCACGGACGTGGAAGCTGCCCTCTGCGGAGAGGCAGACTCTCATGATGCGGAGCGGTGCTCTATGGGCATCGGGGGGAGGATATGTGCATGTAAGGAGGGATTTAAATTGGATGCAGGGCTCCGAAAGTGCGTAGCAGATAGCTGTTACACTTCCGCTTGTGGCTGGCAGGAGGGGGTGGCTTTATGCGTAATGTATGAAGGAAAGCGGGCCTTCACGTGCGCCGATACATTTCAAAAAAGCGCTTCAGGCGAGTGCCTACCAGAGTGCCCTCAGGGATGGCATTATAACAGGAAACGTGAACTCTGCGAGTTGTCAGCCAACAGTTGTGTTCTGACGGACTGTGGGCCTGAGGAAACAGTGGACTCGTGTCTTGTGGACAAAGACTCTGGCCGGCAAATTTGCAAGTGCAAAACAGGATATGCCTTGGATACTGTCACAGGGCAGTGCACATCCCATCCAGCCTGTACCGCCGACGCTTGTCAGGTGTTTGGTCCAGACGCAGTCTGCGTGTCTGATGGTTCAAGCGCCTTCTCCTGTCAATGCATTTCAAATTTTAAAACGGTTGGCCAGGAGTCAACTCCTGTGGTGAAGCCCTGTGAAGCCGTAGAATGCCCTGATTCCTCTATTTGCGGGGATGCAGAGGGAGTTCTGGAATGTGTACAAACCGCCTATGGACACAAGTGCACATGCAGTCCGCTGTATATGCTGGAAACAAGAAGTGGCCGCTGTGTTCCCAGTAACAGACTACAGCTAAAAAAGAACGAGGTCCCCAAAGGGTCTCTACGGGTTTCGGCCACCCGCGCTCCCCTTCATTTCATAATTAACGCCGCCCCATGCGTGTCGGCGGAGTTCAATCTCACCGAAAGAACTCTCAGCGCTACGGCATATCACACGGTATGTATGTCAACAAGGGGTGACGAGTCTTCCTTTGAATTCGTACACAGCCATCAAGAAGCAAAGTTTAGTTTTTATGGCCATGGTTGAAGCAGCCAGATGACATAAGCACGACGCTGGTGTATGACTTCCGCGCAGTATAACTTTATGCACGCGATGTTCGTTTGTGCTGTTGTGCTGCGCCCTAACTTCAGAGTGGGCATACTCACACAACACTCTTAACATTACCGTATCACCCGGGTTCTTACACAGGAGCGGCTTTCACGTTTCGGATGTCACCTGTCCCTGGAGGATTTGACATATCATTCGTTTACGAATTACGTCCAACGCAGCACATGCAGGTCCTGGAACAGGCAGCCCTTCGGGTATATCTAGATCCAGAGACGCGTCAAGCCTTCCGGGAAGCCGGAGGTGGCCTAGACGGAGCCGTTGCCGCGGTAAACGCCGCAGCCAAACAAAAGCCCTGTGAAGTCGCCTTCATGGAGGTCGTTCCTGTTGTGAAGAACAGGCAAAGGGCAGGACAATTTCAAAACCTCAGCAGCCAGTTGAACAAGCTTCCAACAGCTGACGCCAACGCACCTTCCACTAACACAAAGTTCCCAGAGGTGGACCCAAGTATTCCAAAGCCAGAGGAGCCAGATCCAGAAACCATAGACGCACCAGAGTCCGATACCGAAAGGCTGGAACCACCAGAACCAGAGATTGAGCTTCCCCTGCCAGACGCCTCACCGCCAGATCCAACTCTACCTCCAGGAGACACAGAGGACGAAAGCACAGATACACCAACAACACCACCCCCAGACACTGATGAGACACCGGAAACGCCTAATTCTCCTGAAGATGAGAAGGATGTGTCTGGATCGCCAGAGGAAGATAAGGATACATCTGCTTCCGAGGGTGATGACGAAGGAACGATTCCACCTTCGGGTTTGGAGACACCGGGTGTGCCTGAGGACGATGGGTCTGACACGGGAGATGCACCGAGCACTCGTCCTACACAGAGTGCGAAGCCTGCAACGCCTACTGCTCCTAAGGATGAGGAGGATGTGTCTGATTCGCCAGAGGAAGATGAGGATACCTCTGCTTCCGAGGGTGATGACGAAGGAACGATTCCACCTTCGGGTTCGGAGACACCGGGTGTGCCTGAGGACGATAGGTCTGACACGGAAGATGCACCGAGCACTCGTCCTACACAGAGTGCGAAGCCTGCAACGCCTACTGCTCCTAAGGATGAGGAGGATGTGTCTAAATCGCCAGAGGAAGATGAGGATACCTCTGCTTCCGAGGGTGATGACGAAGGAACGATTCCACCTTCGGGTTCGGAGACGCCGGGTGTGCCTGAGGACGATAGGTCTGACACGGAAGATGCACCGAGCACTCGTCCTACACAGAGT